ACGTCGGAGGGAAGGGAACAAACCCGGCAGTTTTCAGCAGGCTGGGAGCCCGTCGCTGGCTGGGCCTCTGGACTGTCAAGAAAAGCCCTGGGCGAAAACCGGCCTTGGAGAAAGGGTCGGGGTTTCCAGGGACCCCGTATTGAACAAAAAAACCCATCCATCGCATGCTCAGGACGGCATGAATGACCACATGAGCGACGGAAGGAAACGGGGTCGTCTTCACCGACATCGACACGTAAGTTGTTCGCGTAAAGTCGCGCGAAAGCGCTCTCTTTTCGAATGTAGCGTGCCGCGCTGGCGGTCCGCGTTCGCCGCTGTGCAAGGTCGCTACAGTCAACCCGCATAGAGAGGATGGGCAACTTCCCCAGGGGCGCCCTGGCAGCCTTGCCTCCTCGGTCCATCCTTGGCGGCTTTCGTTTTCCGCGCTCCGCTCGCGAAGCTTCGAAGTGGCCTTCCAAGGCCTTGGCATCGTAACCGCGCATCCTTATATTGCACGTGTTGACTGTATGTCATCTCGCACAAGGGCCGTTCCTTCTCGTCGTCCGCATTGTTTCGTCGGCGGCGAGGCAGAGGCAGTCCGCTCCAGCGTGTAGCTGTTCGGGGCAACCGAGAGGCGCATTGGCCGGCGTGCAAGGGGGGGAGAAAGACGAGAGCGGCCGCGCGGGGGGAGCGAGAGGGAAAAGCGCTCAGACGTGGAAGAGTTCCTCGTCGAGCGGGCCGGAGCGGCCGACAAGCATACGCCCGAAACCGAAAAAGGCACAGGGAAGGGACATCCGAGCGATGGCGAGGAGGAGGAGGAGGAGGAGGAGGAGGAGAAGTGGGAGGAGGAGGAGGAGGAGGAGGAGGAGGAGGAGGAGGAGGAGAAGTGGGGGGAGGAGGAGGAGGAGGAGGGGGTGGGAGGAGGAGGAGAGGAGGAGGAGGAGGGTGGGGGGAGGAGAGGAGGAGGAGGAGGATGGGAGGAGATGGAGGAAAAGGAGGAGGAGGAGGAGGAGCGGCCGACCGTGGCCGCGGTGACCCCCGCCGCCCACACGAGCCTTCGGAGGCCCGCGCCAAGTTCGGGAGTCTGCGCCGGCCCCCGGGCGGCGGCTGCCCGCGGCCGACCCCGGGCGCGCGGAGAGACACCTACGGGAGGGCGGCCCAGCGCCGACCGAGAAGAAGCCTGCGCGGGCCTCCGAAGGGTTATGCTCATGCCTCCTCCTCCTCCTCCTTTTCCTCCTCCCCTCCTCCTCCTCCTCCTCCGTTTCCCTCCTCCTCCTCCTCCTCCTTTCCCTCCTCCTCCTCCTCCTCCTCCTCCTTTTCCTCCTCCTTTTCCTCCTCCTCCTCCTCCTCCTCCTCCTATTCCTCCTCCTCCTCCTCTTTTTCCTCTTCATCCTCCTCCTCATGTTCCTTCTCCTCCTTTTCCTCCTCCTCCTCCTTCTTCTCCTCATCGTACTACTCCTCGTCCGCGTCCTCCTCCTTGTCGGGCATGTCCCTCTACAGGAGGAACTATTCTTTACGCTTCGCGTATCCCCACCAGCCCATCTCAAAACAGCAACTCTTGCGAAGCATGCCGACAGTAGTGTTTTTCAGGCGTGTTTCCGCCTGCCCCCGCATATCTCCCCTGTTCCTCCTTCCTCCCGCCTCCTTGTACATCCTCCTTGTGGTGGGAGCGGGAGAAGGACGAGGCGGAGGAGGAGGGAGAGAAAGCGCTCCTCGTGGTTTGAGTCGTTTGGGGTTTCTCGTCCTGGTGTGAGTCGTTCGGGCCCTTCTTCCTGGTGTGAGTCGTTCGGGCTCTTCGTGGTGTGAGTCGTTCGGGCTCTTCGTCCTGGTGTGAGTCGTTCGGGCTTCTCGTGGTGTGAGTTGTTCGTCCCCTCATCCTGGTGTGAGTCGTTCGGGCCCCTCCTCCTGGTGTGACTCGTTCGGGCTCCTCGTGGACTCGTGAGTCGTTCGGGGCCCGCGTCGTGGTGTGAGTCGTTCGGGCTCCTCGTGGTGTGAGTCGTTCGGGCGCCTCGTCCTGGTGTGAGTCGTTCGGGCCCCTCCTTCTGGTGTGAGTCGTTCGGGCTCTTCGTGGTGTGAGTCGTTCGGGCCCCTCGTCCTGGTGTGAGTCGTTCGGGCTCCTCGTGGCGTGAGGCGTTCGGGCACCTCGTCCCCTTTTGGGGCGTCGTGGGGGCCTCTTGGCGGCCCCAGGGGCTTCTAGGAGCGTCTTGGGTGCCTTGGGGGAGCCTCGTCGGGCCTCTTGGGAGCCTCTTGGAGGCCGTTTGGGGCGTCTTGGGGGCCTCTTGGCGGCCCCAGGGGCTTCCAGGAGCGTCTTGGGCTCTCTACTCACGCCCAAAGGGCTGGTAGAATTCAAAATGATCCTGGCAAAGAACCCAATTGTACGCTGTCGTGAGTACCGCGTTCTGGGTACCGCTTTCGGTGAAGCTCCCTACGGGGCCACGAACCGTGTGAGGGGTGTGCCGATTTGGGCGTCGGGCGCATGCGGACCCTGCCACTGGGGCCGTCGGTGGAGCTCCCTACGGGGCCACGAACCGTGTGAGGGGTGTGCCGACATGAGCGTCGGGCGCATGCGCACCCCGTCGGTGGAGCTCCTTACGGGGCCACGAACCGTGTGACGGGTGTGCCAAAATGGGCGTCGGGCGCATGCGGACCCTGCCGCTGGGGCCTTCGGTGGAGCTCCCTACGGGGCCACGAACCGTGTGAGGGGTGTGCCGACATGAGCGTCGAGCGCATGCGGACCCTGCCACTGGGGCCGTCGGTGGAGCTCCCTACGGGGCCACGAACCGTGTGACGGGTGTGCCAAAATGGGCGTCGGGCGCATGCGGACCTTGCTGCTGGGGCTTTCGGTGGAGCTCCCTACGGGGCCACGAACCGTGTGACGGGTGTGCCAACATGAGCGTCGGGCGCATGCGCACCCCGTCGGTGGAGCTCCCTACGGGGCCACGAACCCTGTGACGGGTGTGCCAAAACGGGCGTCGGGCGCATGCGGACCCTGCCGCTGGGGCCTTCGGTGGAGCTCCCTACGGGGCCACGAAGCGTGTGAGGGGTGTGCCGACATGAGCGTCGAGCGCATGCGGACCCTGCCATTGAGGCCGTCGGTGGAGCTCCCTACGGGGCCACGAACCGTGTGACGGGTGTGCCAAAATGGGCGTCGGGCGCATGCGGACCTTGCCGCTGGGGCTTTCGGTGGAGCTCCCTGCGGGGCCACGAAGCGTGTGAGGGGTGTGCCGACATGAGCGTCGAGCGCATGCGGACCCTGCCATTGGGGCCGTCGGTGGAGCTCCCTACGGGGCCACGAACCCTGTGACGGGTATGCCAAATGGGCATCGGGCGCATGCGGACCTGCCGCTGGGGCCTTCGGTGGAGCTCCCTACGGGGCCACGAACCGTGTGAGGGGTGTGCCGACATGAGCGTCGGGCGCATGCGCACCCCGTCGGTGGAGCTCCCTACGGGGCCACGAACCGTGTGACGGGTGTGCCAAGATGGGCGTCGGGCGCATGCGGACCCTGCCGCTGGGGCCTGCGGTGGCGCTCCCTACGGGGCCACGAACCGTGTGAGGGGTGTGCCGACATGAGCGTCGAGCGCATGCGGACCCTGCCACTGGTGCCGTCGGTGGAGCTCCCACGGGGCCACGAACCGTGTGACGGGTGTGCCAAAATGGGCGTCGGGCGCATGCGGACCTTGCCGCTGGGGCCTTCGGTGGAGCTCCCTACGGGGCCACGAAGCGTGTGAGGGGTGTGCCGACATGAGCGTCGAGCGCATGCGGATCCTGCCACTGGGGCCGTCGGTGGAGCTCCCTACGGGGCCACGAACCTTGTGACGGGTGTGCCAAGATGGGCGTCGGGCGCATGCGGACCCTGCCGCTGGGGCCTGCGGTGGCGCTCCCTACGGGGCCACGAAGCGTGTGAGGGGTGTGCCGACATGAGCGTCGAGCGCATGCGGACCCCGTCGGTGGAGCTCCCTACGGGGCCACGAACCGTGTGACGGGTGTGCCAAAATGGGCGTCGGGCGCATGCGGACCTTGCCGCTGGGGCCTTCGGTGGAGCTCCCTACGGGGCCACGAACCGTGTGAGGGGTGTGCCGACATGAGCGTCGAGCGCATGCGGACCCTGCCACTGGGGCCGTCGGTGGAGCTCCCTACGGGGCCACGAACCGTGTGACGGGTGTGCCAAAATGGGCGTCGGGCGCATGCGGACCCTGCCGCTGGGGCCTTCGGTGGAGCTCCCTACGGGGCCACGAAGCGTGTGAGGGGTGTGCCGACATGAGCGTCGAGCGCATGCGGACCCTGCCACTGGGGCCGTCGGTGGAGCTCCCTACGGGGCCACGAACCTTGTGACGGGTGTGCCAAAATGGGCGTCGGGCGCATGCGGACCCTGCCGCTGGGGCCTTCGGTGGAGCTCCCTACGGGGCCACGAACCGTGTGACGGGTGTGCCAAAATGGGCGTCGGGCGCATGCGGACCTTGCCGCTGGGGCCTTCGGTGGAGCTCCCTACGGGGCCACGAACCGTGTGACGGGTGTGCCAAAATGGGCGTCGGGCGCATGCGGACCTTGCCGTTGGGGCCTTCGGTGGAGCTCCCTATGGGACCGGGAACCGTGTGAGGGGTGTGCCGACATGAGAGTCGGGCGCATGCGGACCCTGCCATTGGGGCATTTGGTGGAGCTCCCTATGGGGCCAAGAACCGTGTGAGGGGTGTGCGAAAATGGGCGTCGGGCGCATGCGGACCCTGCCACTGGGCCCTTCGGTGGAGCTCCCGATGGGTCTACGAACCCCGTGAAGGGGGTGCCGAAACAGAGACATGCGGAGGGCAGAGGCAAGGAGGGGGAGGAGGGAGGAGGGGAGGAACGCGGGACCCAACACCGCAGGATGGTTGGGAAATAGTCGAAAACTAGCTCGGGGACGATTTTTCGAGTGTTTCTGAATATGGTTGATCATGTTTCGACTACTGCTGAATTGTCCCTCCAAAATCCGCCTGTAGGAGGACGTGCCCGACCCAATGCTCATACCGAAGCGTCTCCTGCTGAGGAGGAGCACGGCGTCAGCGAGGACGAGGCGCTCGCGCTGCAGATGCAGCTGGACGAGGAGGGCGCGTTGGGCCTCGACGGGGCGCTCTGCTGCGGCGGCCACGCGGACTGCGGAGACGACGAGGATCTGGCCGCCGCGCTCGCCGCCCAGATGGAAGAGCAGGACCGTGCAGGCGGCCCGCCAGGAGCACAGGCTGCGCTGCTGGAGGCGCAGTTCCAGGCCTACGAGGACCACGGAGTCGGCCGGGAGTGCGAGGTGGCCCAGCATTGGTCCCGGCGAGCCGGAAGGGGGGGCGAGGGTCGAGACGTTTGGGTTCGAGGAGGTTGCTGGTCTTTTTCGGGCTCCGGGGGCCGTTTCGTTTCTGAGCTCCAGTACCGTCAAAAACACATCAGGGATGAGAAACTGCACCAGATGGGCTCCAGGAAGAGATCGGGACAGATTTTGAACGGATTTGGCCTCGCCCCCCTCTTGATCGATTCTCTTGCGCCCCATCCGCTACGGACCCCCAAGCCGCTCCTAACGAGGACCAGCTCCGACAGGAGGATGCGGAGCGCTGGCACGGTCATGGCGACCTCATGCAGAGCGGGTTTGCGCGCGAGGTGTTGACGCTTGCCTCGATGGACAAGGTCTCCTGCTACTCCGTAGGCCACGGGCGCATGCCAGAGAAGAGCTTCTACGAGCTGCTATCGATGCATGCCATCAGGACGTTGTATGACTTCCGCCACTGCGACCATCACGGCGAGGTCTACACTCCGTGCCAGCGCTATTCCGTCCGCGCCCTGCAGAGCACTTGCCGAGCGCGGGGACTGAAGTACAAGCACGTGGCGCTCGGGCGCGAGAGCGCCTACGGCGTCTTGGCCCACATCTCCAGCGACGAGGCCCAGCATGCCCTGATCGAGCTGGTGTGGCACGCGAAGCGCGGGCGCACGGCGTTCCTTGGCTTCGAGGAGGACTGGCGCATGGACAGACGGCAGGTGGTGGCCGAGGAGCTCGCGAAGGTGGGCCACGCTGTGAAGCACATCGACAGCACCGGCGCCACCGAGGACCACGTGCTGCTGGGGTCCTTCCCCGATTTCATCGTCCAGGAGGAGGAGAAGCTGCGGAAGCTCGAGAAGATGCGCCAAGCTGGGGAGCTGAAGCGGCCCGAGAAGTCTGCGGTGGACCGCTCCAGCGAGGCCATCGCGTCCAGGCTCGATCGACCAGCACAGGCGGTAGACGCGATGGACGAGCTGCGAGCCGCCGGCAACCAGGTAGAGCTGGAGCAGGTGCAGCGCCGCCTGGCCCGGGTGCAGCGCCTGGCAGACAGGAAGGGCGTCATGGCGAACAAGGAGTTAGCCGGCGCTCCGCGCTGGATCCTCGAGGAGGCCAGAGAGCAGGAGAGGTGGATCGCGCAGAAGAAGGCCGAGAAGGCCCAGCAGGCGCCGAGGGCCGAGAAGGCCCAGCGGGCCGCAGCGGCCGACGAGCCCGAGCAGGGCGAAGGCGCCGAGGCAGCCGCCGAGGCGCTGATCGTGGAGTGCTCGCTGTGCTCCGCGCCAGCGCCGTGGCGCGTGCTGCAGCTGGGCGACGGCGCCTGCCCCCTCTGCCGCGCGGCGGAGGGCGGCAGCGGCTCCGCCGGCTCCGCGCGGGCCGGGCCACCGCCGGCGGCGCCCGCCGCACCCGCGGCCGAGGCGCCCGCGGAGGTGGGCGAGCACGGCGGCCCAGCGCCGTCGGGAGCCGCCGGCGCGGCCCCGGCGCACGCGCCCGCCGCGCCGCCTGCGGCGCAGGCTCCCACACACGGCGCGCCCCGCGCGGGCAGGGCCCCGTCCAGCTGGCGGCTGCAGCGCCGCTCTGCGGCGGCGGCCGCGGCGGCGTGCTGAGGTCACAAGGGCCCGCGGGAGCCGTGTACAGAGCGTCGGGGCTGCGGCGCAGGCAGGCCAGGGCAAGCCCGCGAGCACGGCGGCATGCCCAGGCAAGACCGCGGTCGAAAAAAAGTAGAAGCCCGCCGCTCAGAGGAGGACTGAGTTTAGACGACGGAAGTTGGCCTTCGGGGGACCCCGTCGTCGCCGCGGCTGGACGCAGCTCGGAAGGCTGGCGGGTTCGGATCCCATGAGGGGTCCAGGGACCGATTTTGAGCTGGCGCTGTCTCACCTCGCCCTGCTCGGAACAGCGTCAAGGCTGGCCATATCCAAACTACTCGGGGATAGGCCTCCTTGGCCTACAGCGGAAACAGCTGCACCCGTGCTTGTTTTGAATTGAGTTGATGGGCGGCCCTGATCTACAACTTTGTCAGAGCTCGTTCGGGGTCTACGTCTTCCCCACGATGACGGATAGGACATCGGCGCGTCGTGGCATTATGTTTCCCAGTTCCCCAAACTGTGTTTGCATTTAGGGCTTCTGTTTCTTCTGGGGAGATCGGCCTGGGTGGCGGTCTGGCGGCCATGTACTCGCCGTTGCCGCCTAGTCGCCGCCCGTCGTCCTGGCCCGGGTGGCGATCTGGCGGCTATGTGTTGGCCGCCGCCCGTCGTCTGGGCCTGGGTGGTGGTCTGGTGGTTACGTGCTCGCCATCGTCGCCCCGTCGCCGCCTCGTCGCCGCAAGTCGTGTGGGCCTGGGTGGCGGTTTGGCGGCTATATGCTCGCCGTCGCCGCCCTGCTGCCGCCTTAGATTTTCCTTTTCCGAAAAGAATGTGGACTCTTCCCCCCCCCCCTCCCCAGGAGTATCGACACCCCTTTTCGCATTGCAATTTACATACGGTTTTGCCCCATCGTCCATCCGAAATATGAACTCGTACCATCCCAGCCAGGCCGATATCGCCCCCCCTCCCCGCCATCCCTTGAAAAGATACTATGCGCGTGCATCCGTTTATCACAAGTCATAAGTGTGCAAGAATCTTTTTATATATATAGCACCAAAAAATGCACACGCGCGCGTCATCGCGCGCGCATGCCGACATCGTTCGAAAATTCTCGGTTTCGTAAGGATTTCAAAGTCGACTGCCCAGCAAACAGATAACAACACACAGGGTTTCGCAACATGGATTTCTTCACCAAATGCGCGTTTTTGCGGCATGATTGCGAATTCTTGTTTTATGTGTTATTAAAAAAAGGTTGTTCAGCACTTTCATAGCATGCTACCAAGCGGGCTTCGCGCGCGCGCATGTCGAAATCGCTCGAACGCCCTAGCGCGCGTGCTGTGGTGGCACGATCCGTGTCAAATCATACCATTCGGGCCACTCTCGCGCGTCTGCCGCGAACGCATTTCGAACTCCTTCCAAAACATTCATCGCCGACGCGAAGACGCCGTCATCGTCGTCGGCGTGATCAGCATCGGCGCCATCATTGGGTGCCCCGTCGTCGCAGTCAGCAACGCCACCAGCATCGCATTATCATCATCGTGTCTACCGTTGTCGACGTTGCCATAATACCGCGCCCGCCCAAGACGACGAATCGCACTGAAGTGCCCGATGGGATGTGCCGAGCGGTCAACGCCACCGCGTTGGCGTCGGCCGCGCCAAACTAGATGGCCGCCGCGCGCGCGTGCTTGGGTTGGCGCGTCCGCAGAGATGCACCAGCTACAAGCATGCATCGCAATCGCCACCGCATGGGTTTTGCAAACCAAGTGACGGGTGGGTGGGTGGGATGTTTGCAAGAGCACGGGATGTATCAATTCCTTTTTTATATAAAACCATTGCACAGCATGGATTCCTTTCCTAAAAGTATTAGGATCGATGTACCCCCTACATTAACGTCCCCCCTTCTTCGCACTGCAAAGTACAAATGGTTCGGCCCCATCGTCCATCCTGAATTTGGGCTCGTACCATCCCAGGCAGGCCAGTATCGGTACCCCCCCCCCGCATTTTTTCCCCCAAAATGCCAATGCGCGCACACTCGTTTATCAAAATCAGAAAGTTTCAAAAACCGCTTGCATACATGAGACGGAGTACACATGCGCGCGTCGTCGCGCGCGCATGCCGACATTTTGCAAAATCACCACGTGTCGTAAAGATTTGCCAAACCGAATGCACCAACAACCTATATATATATAGAGAGAGATAGAAAAAATATGGTTTCGCAACAAGAGTGTTCAAAAAAGCTTGCACTCGGGCTCTTGCGGATGCTCAAGAAAAACCATTGGTTCTTTCAACATGTTCACAACTTGCTACCAAACAGGCCTTTCGCGCGCGCATGTCGGAATCCCTCGAACGCCTTTTGCGCGCATGCTGTCGCAATAATCCGTTGCCAAAAACAGGACGAATTGCATGCGCGCGCGTCGTCGCGCGCGCATGCCGAAATCTTTATTCTCTTTCTTATATATATATATATATATATATATACAAAAGAAAAAACTTAAGTGCCGTAAGGATGTCAAAATCGAGCATCCCGAAAAACATGTTCATATTGTCGTATATGTTAATAGGGCTGGGGACCCCGGACCCCCCCCAAAAAAAAACCTAATTTGACCCACCCCGGGCCTCTCGGGCAACCCTCCAGACGACCCGGGAGAACCCCACGAGAGCCCGAAGACGGCCCCAGAGGGCTCCAGGCGTCCGGGCGCGCTCCGAAACGACCCTGGAGAGCCTCAAGACGGTCCACGACGACCCCAAAGAAGCCGTCATACCCCCAAAGATCGATCCAAAACGTCCCAAGAGGCCTCCAACAAAAGCACCCCCAAGAAGGTCCCCCAAGAGGCAAAATTCACTGATTTTCGGTTGGTTTTCAAGACGGCGGTCTTCTGGGCGACCGAAGCTGCCTGGGAGGCTCGAAAATCGCCCCACAACCATCCGAAAGGGCTTCCAGGCAGTCCAAGAGAGCCCCAAGACAGCACAACAGGGTTCCGAGATGACCTAAGAGAGGCCCATGACGGCCCAAGATGGCCCCAAGACAACCTCCGAAGCATGCCAAATCGTGACCGGGTCGTTCAGGGAGACCGCGGTTGGAGGCAGGGTGGCCTGAGGAAGCCCCCGGAGGCTCCTTGAAGACGCCTCAGAAGCTTCCAGAAGACTTCAAGAAAGCTTGAAAAACTCGTGTGCGGCCCCCAGAGGGAGCCTCCGCAAGAAGAGTTGAGAAGGATGGGGAGAATACGCAGGGAATGGCGAGAATGAAGCAGATCAAACATGGAAGAATAAGAACGAACAATATATATATATATATATATATATATGGGTGCTGGCGTATCCCCGCCCCCCTGAAAAATCGCAGGGCGATGCAAAGCGCTCAATCCAACTCCATTGCACTTCCACTCGCACAACAAAAGGTTTCTATTGGAAAGCCTCCCATAAAGAAACTTCTGGAAAGCGCCAAGGAGGGATTCTATTGGAAAGCCCCACACAAGGAATCCGTTGGAAAGCGCCACAGAGAAATTTTATTTGAAAGAATTACAATCGGAATCTTTTGGAAACCACACAAAGGGATTCGATTGGAAAGCGTCACAAACGGAATCCATTGGAAAGCCTCACAATCGGAATCGTTTGGAAAGCCTCACAGCAGGAATCCTTTGGAAAGCACCACAAAGGAATTCGATTGGAAAACCGCACAAAGGAATTCTATTGGAAAGCCTCAAAAAAGAAGTCCTTTGGAAAGCACCACACAGGGGTTCTATTGGAAAGCCTCACAAAAGGAATCCTTTGGAAAGCGCCACACAGGGAATCTATTGGAAAGCCTCACAAACGGAATCCTTTGGAAAGCACCACAAAGTGATTCTATTGGAAAGCCTCACAGCAGGAATCCTTTGGAAAGCACCACAAAGGGAATCTATTGGAGAGCCGCACACAAGGAATCCTTTGGAAAGCGCCACAAAGGAATTCTATTGGAAAGCCTCACAAAAGGAATCCTTTGGAAATCACCACAAAGGGATGCGATTGGAGAGCCGCACAAAAGGAATCCGATGGAAAGCGTGACAAAGGGATTCTATTGGAAAACCACCCCACCCCCCAAAGAAAAAAAAACAAACATTTTAAAAAAAGAAACCAAAGACCCAGGGCTGAAAAGAAACAAAAAAAACATTGCAAAAACAAACAATATATATATATATATATATATATATATATAGATATAAAAATTACTCCACCTCTCGTCCTCCTCCTCCCCCGCCTCCCTCCTCCCCTTCCTCCTCCTCCTCCTCCTCATCCTCCTCCTCCTCTTCATCCTCCTCCTCCTCCTCCTCATCCTCATCCTCCTCCTCGCCCCCCACCCCTTAGCCCTCACCTATCAATCCTCCTCGTCCTCCTCCTCCCCCTCCCTCCTCCTTCGCCCCTTGCCCTGCGAGGAGGAGGAGGGGGGGGGGAGAAGGGAGCGGAATTGAGGAAGAGTGGGATGGAGGAGGAGCGGGATGGAGGAGCGAAGTGGAGGCGGAGAAGCGGAATGGAGGAGTGGTCCACCTCCTCCTCCTCCTCCCCCTCTCCCCCTTGCCTTCTCCTCCTCCTCCTCCTCCTCCTCCTCCTCCTCCTCCTCCTCCAAAGGAATTCTATTGGAAAGCCTCAAACAAGGAATCCTTTGGAAAGCACCACAAAGGGATTCTATTGGAAAGCCCCACCAACGGAATCCTTTGGAAAGCGCCACACAGGGAATCGATTGGAAAGCCTCACAAACGGAATCCTTTGGAAAGCACCACAAAGTGATTCTATTGGAAAGCCTCACAGCAGGAATTTTTTGGAAAGCATCACAAAG